TTCCATTGCCTACAGCAGTGTTTCTCAACCGTGGCAACTTTATGATGTCTGGAGTTCAGCTCCCAGAATTCCCATGACTGGCTGGGGAATTCTGGGAGTTGAAGTCCACAAATTATAAAGTTGCCAATGTTGAGAAACACTGGCCTACACAAAGTCTAGCATGGTAGTGGTGTGTGGATGTGGGTGTGAGAGAGAGGGAGGGAGGGAGAGAAAAGGGGAGTAAACATTTGCCAAAATTAATGTTTTATCGGTTACCTGGTCATTTCTCAGTGAATTACAGGCTATGTTCTCCCCAAGTTGCTTCCAGATGTTTACACCTGTTAAATGCTTATTTATTTCTTCCCTGTACAATTTCTGAGAATCAGCTTTGGTGAAACATCTATGTACAGGTAGTCCTTGATTTACAACCATCCATTTAGTGACTACTTGAAATTACAACAGCACTGAAAAAAGTGACTTATGAAGAGGAAACCATTTTTCATACTTGTTGCAACATCTCCATGGTCACATGATCAAAATTGGATGCTTGGCAACTGGTTCATACTTACGGTATGATGGTTGCAAAGTCCCAGAGCCACATGATCTTCTGACAAACAAAGTCAATAGGAAAGCCAGTTTCACTTAACAACCATGTTACTAAATTAACAACAGCTGTGATTCACTTAATAACTGTGGCATGAAAGGTTGTAAAATGGGGCACAACTCAGTTAACAACTGTCTCGCTTAGCAACAAAATTTTGGGCTCAGTTGTGGTTTTAAATTAAGGACTATCTGTAGGAGGTGGGGATTTGGTTTTTAAAACTCAATTGACAGATTAGAAATGAGCTGGAAGTTACTGTATACATTCAAAACAATTATATCATTTGCTGAGTTTACAAGCTCTACAATACTGTAGTTTAGGGGTGGGTTTTTTTAAAGCTTAGAACTGTTGTGAAAGTTTAGTTTTATCATCTTCAGCTCCCCAGAAAAATTGCAACAAGATGTTTTGGGATTACAGTTTTCAGAATTCCCCGAATGCTGCAACCAACAACTATTCTAACTAAAGAATTCTGGGAGCTGAACCCGTACAGAGGGCATCTAGTGTAGAAACACTGATTTATGACTTAATTCTTCTTGCAAAGTCAGCCAATTGTTATTTATTCAATAAAGTAATGTTACACAAGTTATTGCTGTGAGCACAACCTTGGTGTTGAATTTATGATTGATATTGGGGTTTTTTTTTATACCAAAGTAGTCAAAAACCTATATCAGATAACACCAATCTGGACACAGGGATCACTATTCATTTGCCAAAGACCCTCAAGAACTATCTTTTGTAGCCTCCAGAAGGCTAATAATAAGAGGGTGTATTCTACAGAATATTCCACAGAATATTCTTTATTCTGATATAAAGAAGATAATTAATTCTGAAGATCCAACATCTTTAATAGAAACAAAAAAGATTCTGAGTGCAGCATGTTTTGTTAAATTAAATACTCTTTCTTGAGAATGGACAAAGTCATAAAAGGAAAAAAAAGTAGGAAATTAAAATACTGAATTCAGCAGTACAAGAAGGAGGGGCCTCTACTGAAAGAATATAATTTTATAACACCCAAAGACTGAATTTTCTGAAGATATAACCCTTATATATATATTTCTCCTCCTCATTTTTCATATAATCTTATCTAAAATGATCTTCAATATTAAAAAATAAATTGATGCTTAGAAATGCACTCGAGCATTGACATCCATTAAAAAAGATTAACAGAGTATCAGTGATTCATGGACCCAGTAAAAAGACATCTTGTAATAACAAAATCTATCACAGGTAGTTCTCGACTTACAACAATTTGTTTAATGACCATTCAAAGTTACAACAACACTGAAAAAAGTGACCATTTTTCACACTTACGACTGTTGTAGCATCCCCAAGGTCATGTGATCAAAATTCAGACACTTGGCAATTGAGGCAATTGAATATTTATGATGGTTGCAGTGTCCCAGGGTCACGTCATCCCCTTTTGTAACCTTCTGACAAGCAAATTTGATGGGGAAGCCAGATTCACTTAACAACAGTTTGACTAATTTAACAACTATGGTGATTCACTTAATAACTGTGGCAAGAAAAGTCGTAAAATGGGGTAAACTCACTTAACAAATGTTTCACTTAGCAACAGAAACTTTGGGCTCAATTGTGGTCATAAGTCGAGAAGTACCTGTATTAACTGCTGCTGATGAATCTGCTAATATCTGCTGTAAACTTTTATAATGAAAAAATGTAAACCTCTTATGATATACAGTACATGTGTGCTGTTCCAGTTTTTAATACTGTTTACCTTTTGTGGCTCCTAAAACTATACTTTAAAACAATCTCAAACACTGTAAATATCAAAAAGTATAATTTGTTCTGCTTTCCACACTCCAAGGGATTTAGTATACTTTGTCAGGGAAACAATTCTGAATAAAGCTGGATTTTATGCTTTCAGAACTGAGGGAAAGAACCATTGCTGCTGTTGGAAGAATCCTAGCCATATCCTGAAATTAGCTTGGAGGCTAAATTAAACATGTAATAGAAAGGCCAACTCTATCATTAAGCTGACTGAAGTGGTAATTTTGGGCAGCAGACTAGAAAGATCAATGGATTGGGACTATTATTTTGGAAGTAACTTCTTAAGTAGCCATTTTACGGCCCACCTTCTTTATATGAACTCAGAGCTAAAACATATAAGGAATGGTTGCTGGAATTGGGTATGTCTAGTTTAATGAAGAGAAGGATGAGGGGGGACATGATAGCAGTGTTCCAGTATCTCAGGGGCTGCCACAAAGAAGAGGGAGTCAAGCTATTCTCCAAAGCGCCTGAAGGCAGGACAAGAAGCAACGGATGGAAACTAATCAAGGAGAGAAGCATCCTAGAACTTTCCTCTTTGAAGGACTGTCAATCTTGTTAATTGGTCACCTTGTTGGACGGAGGTCTTCGACACTTACGAGGTTGTGACCTTCAAAAATTCTTCTCTGACCTGTCGGTAAACAGACTTTACCATATCCCAAAGGACGGACTCGTCCCCCAACCTGATCTACTGGAGGTTCCAGGGAAGGTTGAAATAATATATTATTATACAATATGCCATCCTCCACTTGATCCTCTCAAAAAGACCATAAGATAGACAATTGAGAGAGAATTCTATGGCAAGATATTGATTTGACCATGTATTCTCCCAACTAAAGCCCATCACACCAGCTTACCATGTTGTTTATCTTCTGAGTCAGCCTTCCATAAGCATTATTTTAAGAGGATTCGTGATGATGCCTATAGGGCTATCAGCCATCTGGAGGATGACTAACAGTGCAGTTGCCATTAGGAAAGTGGACCAGAAGGAGCATCAGAAAGTACCCAAATCTCCTCCTGCATCACATGGAAGGACTTCTTGGCTTACCTCGGTTAAATATCTGTAGACCACTCCAGCATTCAAAATCGGACCTTATAACTTAAGCCTTAGTTATCCATTTTCCCTTCCTTTACTTCTTCGCTGCCAAAGAGTTTGGGAGATTTGACAAACTTGCCTTACAGTATTTTGTGTCCTTGAGTTGACCTAAGAAAGGTATTGCTACTACATCCACTTTAGCTCCTTAAAGACTGTTTGACCAAGAATAGTAACCTTGCATAGAAAATTTAAAAGCTCTGTTAGTCAAGGAGCAGATAAATGGACATATATGGCAATGCTGTAATCCTTACATTTAAATGTATGTTGAGATATTTAAATTTAGTAGCTGGGACAGTGGGGTTGTACAATAAGTCAGAACACACAGTTATAACTGATTGGTCGGAGAGAGCTGGCTCCTACACGAGATAATCTAAGCCAGTGTTTCTCAACCTTGACAATTTTAAGGGGTGTGGACTTCAACTCCCAGAATTCCACAGCCAGCATTGCTGGCTGTGGAATTCTGGGAGTTGAAGTCCACACGCCTTAAAATTGTCAAGGTTGAGAAACACTGATCTAAGCTGTGATTGGTTGCTGTGGGTGCAAAGGGGGAGTTTCCTTGTTTCCCGCCTTTTTTCCTGTGTGCTCTGTAATTTACCCCATGATGTTCCTGTTGATTTACCTGATGATCTCCTGTTTGCCTATCTAGTTTGCTGTATAGATAGATGTAAAATATATTTATCTACATAAAACTACAAGTTCATGTCAATGTGTCTGACTCCATTTGGACACCAGCTGTGCAATTCCCTGACAATGTAGGCATGAAACTGCATTAAGTGCAGAGCTTGGAAGAGGGACCAGTGAAGATCAGTGGAAGGCTGGGACCTTCTGCATGTTATAGGTTCATGATGTTTCTTCACTAGCAGTTTCTACAGAAATAATTCTGTAGAGTTTAAAAGGCTAGGAATGTGTGATTTTTTAAAAAAAAACAAACAAACTGAGGACAGCACTCAATTTTCAAGTCATGTGTGAAGGATTGCATTTGAGAAATTTCCTGGGACAAAGAAAGGAGTAGGACCAGACCAAAACAAACTTAAATTCAGTCAAACGAAATTGAAATTCAGGTCATTGAACACAATTAATGGGTTACTCCACTTTTATCATATAAAATGTACAATTCAGTAGGAACTTTAAAATGAACTCCACAGGATGCATCATTTGAGGGAGGGGGACTCAAGTTATGCCCCTTTCATAGATAGTTTTTCCCAGCCTTGTGGCCCAGAATGCTAGAAAAAGAACCCAATGTTAGATACTGAATCAAGTGAGGTTTATCCGTTGAAGCTATCTCTACCACATGATGTATGTATTCCATTATTACCAGCTTTCCAACTAGCAATAACTGTTCAAGATCTCAGGTAAAGAAAACTATGTGGCACTACTTCAATACAATCCAACAAATATTATCTTCTTGAAAAGTATGCTTTGCCTCCTGGCTATGGTGTCTTTCCTCAGAGAGTGGTTGTAGAAGCTGTCTGCCATTTCCTTTTTTCGATTTGCTGTCTGCAAGATAGTAAGATGTTTTCTAGAAGCTCAAAAACAGATCTAGGTTGAAGCACCATTATTGCATGGAATGTCAAAGCCTTCACCTACATTCTTAATCACCACCAGTTTATCAAACAGTTTGAAGGAGAGTGAAATTTGGGACATACACATGTCATTTTGGTCTCCAGCTTCAGTATTATTCAGGAAGAGATGGGGACCATCACCAGTGCTTTCTTCATGAGAAACATCTACAAAATCTTCAGATTCTTCCACAGGACTCAAAAATCTTTGCCCCTTATATTCAGAAAGTAGGATTTCATCAGAGACTACCTCATCCTCTTTGGGAGAATGTTCCTCTTCTTTTCCTTTGACAAATCCCAAGAAGTCCATTGTTGTATCAGTAACTGACTCCTCTTTGTCAGATGAAGGTTCTACAACCAATAGTTCCATGGGGCTGTTGGATTCCTTTGGTTCCATAAAACTCAATTTTACCTGGGCCTGAAAAACATTAATAAAATGATTGTTTGGTGTTAGATTCATCTCAAACTATTTTTGTTTAATCATACTTTATTGAATCAATGACAGTTAGGAGAGTCTGCACCCTGGGATAAGACAAATGATTTACAAGCTACAGTAGATATGATTACACAAATCAATGTGCCAAAAAGGAATACTTCATTAAACATAATGTGGGAGACTAGGCACTACAGATTTCTATTAAGCTGCTTTAAGATGAATGGTGGTCAGGTCTTAAGGAACTGTTGTTGTTGTTTTTTACCAAATTAGGGTGTTTTCCCATCTTATCCAGTATTGTGTGCTCTGAGAGGCAATTCTGCTCTAATTTGGCCATCTGGAAATGCTAACAGAGGTTAAGTCGTCTTTCTAACTTAATTGGAAGGAAACCTGCACTGCTATATATTAGGGCTGGCTGAGGAATTCTGGGAATTGAAGTCCACACATCTTCAGGTTGCAAGGCTGAAAAACACTGATCTACAGAGTACAAGAGCAGAGCACAAATCTAGGCCAAAGAGATACTCTTCTAGGGCAAAAGATCCTCAAAAAAAGATTTATCCTACAGACCCAAAGTGCTCTAATGTCAACCACTTGATAGCTGTGTTTCCTGTATATTCAAAGAAGTGTCCTTCTCCCATTTTACAGGTAATCCTCAACTTATGATCATAATTGAGCCCAAAATTTATGTTGTGAAGTGAGAAATTTGTTAAGTGAGTTTTACCCCATTTTATGACTTTTCTTTTGTTAAGTGAGTCACTACAGTTGTTAAATTAGTAATGGTTGTTAAGTGAATCTGGCTTCTCCATTGACTTTGCTTGTCAGAAGATCGCAAAAGGGTATCACATGACCCTGGGACACTGCAATTGTTATAAATATGAACCACTTGTCAAGCATCCAAGTGTAAATCACATGACCATGGGGATGCTGCAATGGTCACAAGTGTGAAAAATGGTCATAAGTCCCTTTTTTCAGTGCCATTGTAACTTTGAACGGTCACTAAATGAACTGTTGTAAGTCGAGGACTATCTGTATACTGTTCTGTGAGCTGCTGAAGTACCTTTTTTTAGCTTCATCTGCTACTGCTATCTCCTACTGATAAAACATGCAGTGATCCTCATCCAATAAATGAAGAACTCACAATAACATGATGTAGAACACGGGTGTCAAACTTGCCACGTCATGTGATGTGTCGCGATGTATCGCGACTTTTTTCGCATTGCTGGAGCTGAGGTGGGTGTGGCCTCCGCATGATGCAACCGCCCATGGGCCAGCAATTTGACACTCATGATGTAGAAAATCTTCACTTGAAGCTCACCTGGTCTACTTCTGCTATGGTGTGGAACTTCACAGCTTCTGTATTAGCAGGATCTGGCAATGCTGAGCACAATACATTTTTCATTCTGGAACAGATGTTAGAACAATGGTTTGGGAAGCAGAACTGGGAGTGGGGAAGTTGCTTAGCTCTTGGAAGGTCAGGAAAGGCTCAAGATACAGATGTGGTTCATTTGCATATCTCCAGTTTTAAAAAGTTTATGCATTTGCAAATCAGATTAAGCCAGGACTTACAACCAGGTCCTATAGAACTCTTCTACATACTGTAGGAACATAATAGATTCACTTATAATGCTAAATCATCATGTCCAATTAAAAGCAGACAATAATATGTCTTGGCATCATGTGCAAACTAGGTCATTGATCTTTAGTACATCTGATCGCCCTGAAAGATTGGCTGGTAGCATGATCTCCCATATTACAGATATGGAATGCTATTGGTGCTGCAAGACAATGCCTTTGCTAGAATTTCTATCAGAGCTGGGATAACAAGTAACAATTCCCCAGCTTGTGTTCTCAGCTGCTTTACTGCATCAACTTGCTGAAGCCACATAGTGGATGATTAATTAGCTGACTTTGGAATCAACTGTCCAGGGAGATAACAGTTGTTCACGGCAGCTGCTTAGGAGTTAATTTTATGTTTCCTAACCACAATTTTTAAGGTAATTTCAACATAAAATGTTGCCTTATACCAACCAGTTTACGTAGCCCATGCCATCTAATTCAGTTTACAAATTAATATTCATCAAGGAAAATCGAGTTTATTAAATCTGGAGTCTCTTTCTTGTACAATAGGTGCTGGAATACGATGCAAAGAGCATTGCGAATGTCATAAAAAGTGTTACACACCTCGACCACTATTGAGCTCAAAATGTTTGTTGCGAAGTGAGAGAATTGTTAAGTGAGTTTTGTCCCAATTTATGATTTTTTTTGTCACAGTTGTTAAGTGAATCACTGCAGTTGTTAAACTAGTAACACAGTTGTTAAGTGAATCTGGCTTCCCCACTGACTTTGCTTGTCAGAGAGTTGCAAAAGGTGATCAAGTGACACCCCCCCCAGGACACAGCAACCATCATAAATACAGTATGAGTCAGTTGCCAAGTGTTCGAATTTTGATCACGTGACCATGGGGATGCTGCAATGGTCATAAGTGTGAAAAATGGTCATAAGTCATTTTTTTCTGTACCATTGTAACTTTGAATGGTCACTAAATGAACTATAGTAAATCCAGGATTCTCTCCCTTCATCATCGTTATTTGGCCAGGTGTTAAAGCAGGCACTTCTCTGCTGCCCTTGAAATAGTTATTGCACATGGCTTCATCATAGTTACCTTTTTTTGACAAGGTAGAAGATGGTGGTGACAACAAGGATGACTCCAAAAATCCCTATAAATAGAAAGCTAAGCACCAGTGGCAGCTGCTTGAGATCTAGAAAGGAAGAAAAGCCACAAGAAGCTATTGCTACTGTTGGAATTTCAGAAGGAGAATTCAAAAGGAAGAGAAGCTATTATACCTGGAGCTTTGGTAAGAAATCTATAAAAAGCTTTGCAGTTGTCTTTGTTGTTTGCCGTAGAGACCCAGATGCCAACAAGATAGACAGTGTCAGGCTCTAAGTCCTGGATCGTATACCATGTTTGTGACACGTTGACGTCATAATCTGAACAAGAACAAGACAATAATCAGAGCCCTTTGGTTGGCATTTTCCACAACAGCATCACAGCAGCAACCAAATCCTTGGCCCAAATTCCAGTGGGTAACCTTGCCAGGATTTTGTCTTCCAAATTGTATGAACCCAAGACACAAAGGTCAGAACCCCATACTCACATATGATGTTACTGTATTGCTCCTTTTGACAACATATGACATATTTCTTCAGTACACCTGGGCAATCAAAGAGGGCTCTGGGAGGCTTCCACTGGATGACAGCAGAATTTGCTGTTTGGTTGGTCACATTTACATGGGTGGCATCTTCAAGAGAAGCTGCAGATCAAAGAGGACAGTTATCAGATTATTGGCTCTTGAGGATCTATACATTCCGTAGATTTCTTCCATCTTTGGGATGATGGTCAGGTTCTCCCATCACTTCCTTGAGAAGATGAATATGGAGTTAAGATAAGTTGCAGTCAATTGTTGACCAGGAACCAAAGATGGGCAATTTAGGCCAAGGTTTTGAAATGTTCTCAGGCTGCATTAAATGTTGACTTTAAAAAATAAATAAATCTCAGAGCCCCTGGTTGAAGCTCTGGTGACAAACAATTTGCTATGTTCAAGTGAACATTATATGTGTGTGTTTGCCTGTCAAGTTCTTGCACAACACTAGACTTCTGCAGAATACTGTTTGAAAAACCCTAGTTCAGGGGTAGGCAACCTTGGCTCTTTTATGACTCATGGACTTCAACTCCCAGAATTCCTGAGCCAGCACAGTCATAAAAGAGCCAAGGTTGCCTACCCCTGCCCTAGTTTATTCCTGAAAGGTTGAAATACTGATCATTGGCTCTCATAGAAGCTATCATTCTTCCTTCTTTCACATGACCTGCTAACCACAGGTCTGAGATGCTCTGTTTTTGAGGCATGAGATGCAGCCTCTGTCTCCTCCTCAGAAGCAGCCTAAATTGGCACTTGGCTGGAAAACTTGAATCGTTGCTTCTGTCTCAAATTAATGTACTGAAAGTTTCCTGCTGCTTCTGCTCACTTGGGAGGGGATCTGTTGGGGTAGTTCTGGATGCTGCTAATTCTGGCCACTTGCTGCCAGCACTGCCATTCTCTTGCAATCCTTCCTGAACTGGAATATTTGGGAGCTGGGGTGAAACCAACAAAAGTTTTCCCTATTAGCTAAAGGGAAGAGAAGACTGCTAAACCTCTCTAGTCTTCTAGTCCAACCCCCTGCTCAAGGCACAAGCCTTATACCATCCCAGTCACATGGTTGTCCAGTCTATTTTTGAAAACCTCCAGTGATGGAGCACCCACAATCCCAGGAGGCAGGCTATTCCATTGAATAATTGTTCTCACTGTCAGGAAATTTCTCCTTACTTCTAGGTTAGATATCTGTTTGAGAAATTTCCACCCATTACTTCTTGCCCTGCCCTCTGATGCTTTGGAGAATAAGTCAAGAAGGGTGAAAGATAAGTTGGGATGGACTTCTCAATGTACCATAAAACTCCCTCCAGCATTACCTGCACCCTTCTCTCCACCTCACTGGTTTGTCACTTGTGCTGTTTGTAGATAAGCTCCACCAGTCTTTTAGAAGTCCAATAACCCATGTTCAGAAATCGTCTGAATGACAGGTTACGGTTGCAGGCCATCTCCATACCAATGATCTGTTGTTCCAGCAACTTGAAAGATGGCTAAAGGCTCCATCCCCAGATCCCGCCCCAGACTGTCCTGATCGGAAACTGTTAGAGATGTTTCCACCCATCCACCCACTAACTGGTTAGTGACATGGGGCAGGAGGGAAAAATAAGAGAATCATATTCTTCTGCCAAGTCAAGAACCATGTTATTCTGATCAATCAATCACTGAAGTAATGCACTTTAACTCTGTTCTGAGAAAGAGCTGATGGGTGACAAAGTGTTACAGATTTTAAACATTTGAAGTTGTGGTGATAGTGTCAGCTTAAAAGGAAACATACTTCATTAAGCAGTTTATTTAATAAGGACTAGGTGGTTTCACTCATGGGTTGGGGATGAGATGAAGACAGTGTTGTGGGGCCAAGGGGAAGACTGGGTTTAGCAAGATAAGATTGTGCGATGATAAATTGCAAGTTGAGTCGAGTCTAAGAACTTCAAAGTGCTTGAGGCAGAAATGTTAAGGTTGTCAAATTAAAAGTGCAACTATTCTATCCTTATCTACCTGAGGTTTTTTTTGATAAGTACAAAGATAGAAGAAATAAAGCCGAGGTTCATCAAAAGACAATATCAACTGGCCTACCGGCAAACATTTTTTGGATGTTTATGAAGTATCCATTTTTAACTATTGATGAGTCTGACTGATGGGACAAGCAGAGGTGGCAAGTCACCACAACATACTCACCATTTCTATGAAAAAGGTACCTATATCCAAAAGTTTTCCAGTGCACTTTATCGTCATATCTGTACACTGCAAAGCGATAACACCTGTTGAACTCCATTTTCCCTGGAATTTAGAAGCAAAAATCACATATTTTATGATCATAACCTTAGGAGATACCTGCTGGATTAGACCAAAACTTTCTTTTACACAGCATCATATTTCTAACAGTAGAGCTAGATGTTTCTAGAGGTCCTGTGAATAAACATCCCAGATTGTTTTCCCTCCAACATCTGGTATCAAGCTAGACTGACTCCATAAATGACTATTTCAATTAGCTCTTGCTGATAATATCCATTTTACCATCCCATTAATTTCTCTAATTCTCTTTTGAAGTCAATGACCATCCCTACAGCTTCATCCTAGAGGTCTAAACAAATATATTGTGTAAACAAGTGCTTCATTACAGCTGTCTGAAGCCTCTTCACAGCTTCTTCGGAGGATCCTGAAGCCTACAGTCCATTCAGCTATGATATAAAGAACCCATGCATAGAGAAAAGAGCAGTGGTTCAAATTACTACCTTTTTCCTTCTTTAGCCTATATTGCACTAGTTGTGTATTTCCCACTCTTGTTTTCTTTTATGATTCCAAGATGGCACTATTGACAAAATATGACCCAGCTTGTGCTAATATGTCAACCCACTGCTGAGTCATCCTTGAGCCACTAGGAAAGAGTCGTGGTGGCACAGTGGTTAGAATGCAGTATTGCAGGCTGACTCTGCTTACACTGCCAGGAGTTCAATTCCTTAGATCAGTGGTTCTCAACCTTTTTAATGCCGTGACCCCAACCGGTCGTAAGTCGAGGACTAAACCGGTCGTAAGTCGAGGACTAAACCGGTCGTAAGTCAAGGACTAAACCGATCGTAAGTCGAGGACTACCCAACTGGTCGTAAGTCGAGTACTTTCCCTGCCCAGGAGCACCACGCATGCGTGGTTCCGCCCCCTGCACCAGCCGAGGCGTAGCTGGCAAGTGGCAGAGACGGAGCAGGCCGACCACCAGCTGGCCCAGCCCAAGCGAGATAAGGCACCCGCCGGAAAAGGGGGAAAAAATGGCAGACAAAAAAAATGGCAGACAAAAAAAATGGCGGACAGCCTTGCTTGGCGACCCCCGTGAAATGGTCGATCAACCCCAAATGGGGTCCCGACCCACAGGTTGAGAACCACTGCCTTAGATCCTGACCAGCTCAAGGTTGACTCAACCTTCCATCCTTCCGAAGTCAGTAAAATGAGGACCCAGATTGCTGAGGGCAATATGCTGACTCTGTAAACCGCTTAGAGAGGGCTGTAAAGCACTGTGAAGCAGTATATAAGTCTAAGCAGTATTGCTAGTTGACAGATGCACCATGCAAAATAGTCATTTTATTTGTTTCAATTAGTCTTTCTGCCCGTTTTATTGGTTTAAATTAATGGCAAAGTTATTTGCTAATCTCTTCCAGTGAAATACCACCTTTTTCAAACTCCTTCCTCACCCAAGTATAGCTCCAGCTAGAGATGCACTAGGGCAGGGCTCTTCAAACTTGCCCCTTTTATGACTTGTGGACTTCAACTCCCAGAATTCCTCAGCCAGCGTGGCTGGCTGAGGAATTCTGGGAGTTGAAGTCCACAAGTCATAAAAGGGCCAAGTTTGAAGAGCTCTGCACTAGGGCAAATCTGGTGGGGATAAAATTAGAAAGCAACACAGCTACAAAGAGTATCTGTAGGCCCCACTTTCTCTTGATACTGCTGCTTCCGCCAAGCAAGCTATGCACTTTGAGAGTTTCTCTGATGGAAAGAGTGATATTCTAGTGGAAGAACCTGGGTGGGCCTAGGAAGAGGTTTCAGTGTTACCTGTAACCAGGTAAGCGTTATTAGGATCCATGCAGTCTTCCTTAGGCAAGGTTTCTCCAAGAAGCTGAACTTCAAAGCAAAAGAAAGCCAAATCGTCGTCCACTTTCCACTTCAGAGTAAAATGCCTTCCGGACAGACTGACGTTCATAAAATTGGGACCTAGGACTGTAGAATCATAGTGTTAGAAATTAACATTAAGGCTATCTAGTGCTGGCTGGAGAATTCTGGGAATTGAAGTCTACACATTCTTAAAATTGTTAAGGTTAGGCAACATTACCCTAGTCAATGAATGAGCCTTGTGTATGTAGCATCTCTGACAGATGTGTGCCCTACTTTTTCTGAAATCTCATAAAAGAAGGGCCATGGGGCAACAATCTTCCAATGCGATACAAGATATTGGAGATATGTGTACAATATGCCACTGTTATTGCCATAGAATATGCTCAAACCTGAGCTTTTACCCATAATTCATTTTTATGGGTACCCAGATTCACTTTTTGTCTTCTGCCAATTTCATTCTAGGTGTCTCTCCTGATATTTAGTCTGATAGGTTTAGTCTGGCAAGATTCTGTCTCTATTGTGTAAGCAAATAAAGAACTGAACTTTGGCTGAATTATTCTATGTTGCTCTTGGGCTGGGTCTGACCGTTGCTTTGTATACCAACCTGCATTTTGTTCTGGTGGTAGCTTAAAGGGATAAGCTGGAGAATGTCCCACTTCGTTAAACGCCACCAGCGAAATGTTATATTCAGCTGCAGAAAGAGCAGTGTAGCACCGAGTTGCACCATGTACGGTAATGTTGTATTTTTCCAAGCCAAAAAGGCACTGCTTGCAGGCCAGCATGACAAAAGTGAGATTATAGCTCACTTTCCCTTGCTCCATAGGAGGTCTCTGCAAAAATACAAAAGAGAGGATAGAAAGCATTTCCCAAGCCACCAGCTTGTCTGGGGAAATACCTCTTGGGCATTCAGCTCTAAAAGATCTCCAGAGACCTTGGCATCAGGCCTTATGACCCACTTACCCTCTTCTTTTTCAGTTTCTTGAATTAAAGAAGGTTGTCTCCTTGTAAAATAAAATGACAGACTCTGGCTTTATTTACAAGAACACTCTGGGCTCTACAATGGCCCTATGGACACCTTTAGCAGGTGAAAATAATGGGTGACTATAATCTAGGAGTTTAATCACAAATGTGTATTTCTGCCCTCCAACTATCACCACCAGCTGAACGGTCAATTCAGCCCCGAACATATAACTTTCATAACCAAAGAGCTTGAATGTTTGCACTGCATGTTCTTCTTGTCTTCTGTCTGGTTAAGAAATAATATTTTTAATGTTTTAAATGCAGGCAATCCAAATGCAGGTTGGATTAGGAGTCTGAACCAAAGGATGTTTGAATGATCGATTCCAAGCAGATGCCCCAAAGGCTGAATGAAAGCATTCCTCTTACCGCCCACTGCAGAGTCACATTCCTCAGGCCTTCCTTTCCTAGGGACCCCACAGTATAATTTACTGAGGGACTTCTGAGGATTTCTGGAAGAAACAAAATACATCTTTTAGACTCTGGATACTTTGCTAATTGGTCCCCAACCCCCTTTATTTGAGTCTTGTCTTCTTCCTTCCACAGTCTTAGAAGAGGAAACAAAGCAGCCAGGGACAAGTTACAAGACAACACACAACATGTGCGCGCGCACACACACACACAAATCTCACCAGTGGGAACAAAGAAGACTTCGCTCCAGCTGCTCCAGTGACTGCTTGAGTGATCAGTTCGATACCGAACCTGCGCTTCATAAGAGATATTTTTCCCCAGATGACACGTGGCAACTAGACAAAGGCAAGGATATCTGGATCAGTCTTCGATTGTCTCCTGTTATGACCCAAGCGGTCAAGACAAGGCAGGCCTTTAGAGAGTCCTTTATTGCTCTCAATAAGTGTTGAACAAACAGCCCTCCACTGACTGGTAAGGTTCCACCCTACGCTACCGTGACAATAGCCCATATACTATCAGGAAAATCCACAATGCAAAGTCCAGGCATGAGACAAATGGCAGTCCTCAGGGCAAAGACACAAAGGTACATGGCAAAGGCAGTTCTTTTTTTTTTTTTTTTTTTTTTTAAAATTTTTTATTTATAATACAATTAAAACAAAAATGGACATACGTGGCATTCCAGAGTAAATATTCCTAACAATTTGTTTCTCGTGATACAAAAACTTAATACATCATCTTTAACCTCTATATACACCTCATTCTTCTACATAATACAATTATATATACAATTATATATACAATTATGTGTATGCTTCAATCCTATCGT